GATTAATTCTAATAATTACAGTGAAGCCAGGCACTAAAACTAAGCCTTAAAATCTCTTAAGTAGCTATTTGCTACCTTGCAACACTATTCCTGTTTCAGTAGTTGAAACACTCATTCACAACACGTTGAAAGTATTGAGGAAAGCTGATCCTATTCTAAGAGATTCAGTTTCTTTCAGTAGGAGTAGCTGGCAGCTGTCTGGTAGGGCGTCTTTTGTGTCCTTCTGAAATCATTTATGGACCACTTGAGTGTCTTAGTATTACACACAGTAAAAGGAACCTGGCAGGTATATTTGCTTTATACCCAAGGAGTTGTTGCCTAACTATGTGTTTGTTCATGTATTTAGTGAGGTTAACGATTTATGTTTGGCTCATACAAAGTAATGTGTATTTGATATGCATTATATTTTATTTTTTGTGTAATCACACCATTATAGAAGGATAGACTGAAATTTACCAATCTACTAGTCCTTTGTATGCTTACTGGTATATAAATATCAAAATGTAAAAATTGTTTTTCTAAATTTTGTTTTTAAAAATAATTTTCCACATATTTTTAAAAGATTTAAGTATTTTTTTTGGAGGGGGAAGGGTTTGAAATCCCATTCATACTTTAAGGCATTGTCTGGATTTCTTTAGTTAGTCAATATTTGTCATTAAGATTTAATTAAAGATCATAATACTAATCTGATATCATAATTACAAACTGGAATACCACTTAAAAGCGAAGGTTGTTATTGTTTTTTAACACCTTTATTGTGGTATGAGTCCTGTACACTAAACTATAAATGTTTCAGATGTACAATTTGGTGAATTTTGGAAAGATGTGTACACCCGTGAAACCACCACTACGATTAAGATAGTTAATAACATTTCCATCACTCCTAAGAGGTGCAATTTTCAAATTCCCAATTTATCCCTTCCCACTCCCTTTACCTGCTGGTAACCATAGTTTGTTTTCTATGTCTGAATCTGTTTCTGTTTTGTAGATAAGTTCATTTGTGTCCTTTTTTTTAGATTCCACATATAAGGAATATCATGCGGCATTTTTCTTTTTCTTTCTTACTTCACTTAGAATGACAATCTTCAGGTCCATCCATGTTGCTGCCAAAGTTTTATTTTTTATGAAAAGCTAAGTTTATTATTGAAGATAAGTCTGGAAATTTTAGAGGGTTTTGTTGTTTGTTTTTTTTTTGGTTTTGGTTTTTTTAAGTGCAGATTGGAAAGTTTGTATATGAGTAGTGCTGAGTGGGTGGAACTGCTTTTATAACTAGAAAGTGGTAATAAAATTGCTGATTGGTCTTTTTTATAAATGAAATCAAGTTCTCTAAATTATTTGTCATTGTGAGACTAATAAGCATTGTACCAAAATACAATGGTTCTTTATTAGGAAATCTGATTATTAAGTTATTATTATTAAGATAGTAAGTTGAAATTTAGAGAAATTTGAATAAAACATCTCCTAATTTCTACTTATTTAAAATTTACTCTTCTACTATACAATTTGGGATTGTTTAAATTTTGCTTTCATAGACATTATTTGTTGTTTTGAGGTTTTGGAATGAAATCATATGTCTGAAATTTTTCTTATGTGTTTCAGATGAGGATGCCATCTGTTCATTTTGTGGTAGATAATGGTGGGGACATTGGGCAATAGGAGTATTTTAAAATGTTAAGACTCTCACTAAGTTACTAAATGATCTGCTCCTCTTCTTTGCCAAGTAATGTAGTGTATTCTATTTTAAAGTTTAAATGCATAAAGAGAATAAATTATTCTTATATTGAAAGGTAAGATAAAAGGCAGTAGATGCTTGTATCTTGGTGTCTAATTTTTATTCCTGATCAGTAGTAGCATTACTGCTGTGCCATTTAATTATATTGTTATGTTTTTGAAGATCTGATTTGTATGTTGCCACAAATGCAGAGTAGATGAGAAAATCTGGCATGCCTGTGAATATTCTGTTGTATAATATATGCTTTTCTTAATTGTTTTTAACATGCAGTTAGGATAATTTGTTATAAATGTGTTTATGGTTTACCACAGCATATTAAGTAAAATTAACTCCCAGCATTTTATCATGGTTAGTGTTGTGCATTTCCCCATCATTTATGTCATTTACTTTGTAGATCTGATCTCTGAAAATACATCCCAGAGACTGTTGGGATTCTTTGGTACTTCATAGTACTTCATGGAACAGAAGGGTATTAAATGTGAAAGAGACTATCTTGCGAGTTTTGTGGTAGCACAGTAACCTTAAAAGAGGCCACCCTGGAAATTAATGAGCTACACTGTCATTCAGAATTCATTCGACAAATATTTATTGAGTTCCTACTACATGCCAGGCATAGTGCTAGGTAGTGAAAATACAAAAGTACTTAAGACAGTCCTTGACCTCAAGCTGCTGTTCAGAGTCCAGATAGCCAATTGTCGGGGATTTTGTATAGGGAATTCAGACATTAGCTAGAGGACTGCACCAGGTGGTCTTAAAGGAAGGTTTCTTTAGAACCCCTCCTCTGACTGCCTTAGTGGGTGTGTGCAAGAATGGGAAAGGAAATAAAGGACAGAAACTAGAAAGGGATGGATGTTTAAAAATGAACACATGTGCTAGCAATTATTTAAGGCGGCATTTGAAGTTTAGAGACATCATAGAAACAAAGATACACTGAGTTTGGATCATGAATAAAAGTAAAACAAATCAAGCTGTAGAGTTTTGAAATGAACTTGATAAAAATTAAATCAGATTTCAAGTCAAGATCTTTGGCTGAAGAAGTTTAGAATTTGTTATCCTGAAGTTTAAGATTCCAGATATTCATAATAGGAAGAACTTTTAAATATATAAATCAATTTTACCAATTTTAATTTTAAAAATTTGGAACCAGTTTATTTCTTGGGCAGCACATCCAGAATTATTTCAGATATGAAACTGATTTAAAGTGGAACTTTCTTTATTTTCTAAATAATGAGTTTAAAAATACCTTTGAAAAAAGAAAATTCTCATTTAATTTAAGCCGATCTTACATTTTATTGATTTATTAGAGTGAGCTTACCCATGCTTATTCGCACCTCTTTTGTCACCGTATTGGTGTGAAAAATGTTATGCCTAAGTGAGTTTTCTAGATAATGAAACTACTCTTTTCAGCATGGTTTTTAAAACTAAAGCTTTAAAACCTTTTTTATGAATTCTAAAATGTCTTAAATAGTTTTCAGTCTTTCTAAGTATATGCATATGGTATATATATGTATGTAGTATACTACTTATGTGGTATTAGTAAATATAAAATACAGTCTATAAATATATTGTGTCATATTGACCCAAGACTTCTCAAACATTAATTACTCTGTTGTGATAAGTATAGGGGAAAATTGAGATGTATTAAATTTTTGTCCTGGCCTATGATAAAGCCCTCAGATTGTCTTGCTTTTTGGATCAGTTTTTGTGTTAATGTCTTGTAATTCTCTTCTCTCCTTAGGCTGTCAGCTGGCACCTGGCATCTATCATTTAGTGTTTCTGTTGCCAGCAGTCAGTTCCATTTCTGATTTATGGTAGAACTAAGCTATAGGCTGACAAACAATGTAAACAAGTGATTGCTTTATTTTATAAAAAAGCAGTTGCTTTTGCCCCAGATTCTGAACTTCTTTAGAATACTTGATCAGGATTGTGAGGTTGTAAAACAAATTCTACTCATACAGTCTAGAGGCCCTCACAGAATACTCAGCTCTCAGATCCTTTCAAAATATTATTCTTTTCCCTATAATTTTGTAGTCTTGTTAGTCTTTCAAATTCCTTGCCCAGTAATTCTTAATAAAAATGTTAATCTCCTACCAATATGTGTTTTGAGGGGAGGGGAGACAAAATATAAAACAAATGAAATGAGGAAGTTAGTTAACACAGGTTATTTATCCTTTTTTTAGTTTCTGAACCTCAGTTTTCTGATCTGTAAAATGGTGATAATTACACCTACTTGAAATATTTGTTAGAATTAAGCAGGGTGTATAAAGTTCTTATCATGAACTTTGAGGTAGATGCTCATTAAGTAGTCAGCTACTTTCTTTTTTTCCTTTATTTACAGGTACAGTTCATCCTTTAGGACTAGAAAGAGCTTT